CTCACGCACAGTTGATCATATTGCTGCACAGCTGGATGGAGGCCTCGCAGCCCCCGGGCGCCGTGGGTGTCAGGAGTGCCCTGGAGCTTGGCCGAGGCCAGGCCATCTTCCCGGGGCTGCCTTATCCACCACGAGTCCGCGTCTCTTCGTGCCTTCTGAAGGCTGAGTTGACCAGAGGGAACTACAGACAGTCAGAAATTGCTCCCAAACGCTTAGCCTTGGCAGTGTAAAATTTAAAAAGCCGTGTGGTTAGCAAACTTTTAATAGTAAAGTGAGGATAATCCAAACCTGAAAGCTCCAGAGCTTTAAAATCAAACAGCAACTTTTCTCATGGGGATCTGGAGATAAAATTTAAAGGTGAGGGGCTGGCCCCGTGGCCGAGTGGTTAAGTTCACGTACTCCGCTTCGGAGGCCCAGGGTTTCACTGGTTCGAATCCTGGGTGCGAACATGGCACTGTTCATCAAGCCATGCTGAGGCAGCATCCCATGTGCCACAACTGGAAGGACTCACAATAAAAATACACAACTATATACCGGGGGGCTTTGGAGAGAAAAAGGAAAAATAAAATCATTAAAAAAAAAATTTAAAGGTGAGAAACAAAGCTCCCCTTTGGAGTTGGAGGAAAACTGAAGTCAAACAGAAGAGCTTGGGGCCATAATGAGAAAGCATGGCTGATAGGGACTCTTCGTTCCCTCGATAAATATCTTTTTCATTCCTAATTGGTTGAGATTGTGGACACTGGAGCCAGACGACCTGGGTTCAAGTCGCAGTTTGCTTCATCTCTCTGTGCCTCATTTTCCTAATCTGTAAAATGGGATAATAATTCACCTACCTTATAGGGTTGTTGTTGGGGTGCTAAATCATGTGTAAAGGATGAGGACAGTGCCCCGCATCTGCACTGCCTAATGCGCAGTAAACATTAGCTCCTTTTATGATGGTGATTACTCCCGGCCCGTGGGCTTGGTAAAGGCTGGGGGAGTGAGGGTGGCGACACAACTCTGAGGGCCTCCTGCCCCCTCTCTCCTAGTCCAGGCAGAAGCTACACGCGGGTTTGCTGCACTTCTGCAGCGGGGCTAATCTGGGCCTTGGCAGTGTCCCTTTCATCTGAGTCATCAGTCTTGTCCCTCCTCAATCCTGGGGTCATCGAGTCTGTCGACAGTTGGACCGAGAATGTAGCAGAGCCCAGGATCTTCTGCTTCCCACGCTCCCGAAGGCTGCTCCGCGTTCACTGCACTTCTCAGAGCTGTGGAGTCAGGACAAGGGAGAGGCTCACAGACCCACTGTCGACCTCTCCTGCAGTTTGGGTGTTTCCTTATTTGCTTTCCCAGGCTCCTTCCGGCTGGCGAGTATTCAGTTGTTAAAATTGCGTAGACCCTGGAGCAAAACGGCCTGGGTTTAGATTCTGCTTGGCTGCTTCTTAGTGTGCGAAGTCCTGAACCTATTTTGCCTCTAATGTTCTGCTGGATCAGAGGATAGGGTGCTGCAATTTAATTAGCCACTTAGGACATTAAAGTGCCATAAACTGTCACAGAAAGGGACATTGTGACCCCAGAGGATCATGTCCATTCTGAGCATCAAAACCTGAAATGAAGTAAGATGAATTCCAGGATCTACCCTTGGCCTTTAAAATATTTAAGATTCCAGTGTAAGCTTCTCTGGTTGATCTTTGCTGCTTTTTATTTATAAGGAAAAAAGTGAAATAAAATTCAGGTTGAGGCTTCCAGCTCTGGTGGCTTCTGTTAAATGGAGGTTTTTATTGTGCATTTGTAATTGTGTGTAGGACAGAAGGGGGCGTGGGTCTCAGAGGTGGTTAGTTTATACACACGAGAATGATAGGACTGTTAGCACTGGATTCAGAGGTGGAAGGTTGGGATTTGGCGTCTAGGCTCTCCTCTTAGCTGTCTGACTCCAGGCAGCTCACTGCACCCTTCTGAACCTCAGTGTCCTCATCTCAGAAACATTGCTTATCCCGCCCCGTCTGCCTTGCAGGACTGTCGGGAAGCCCAACTGCAGAAGCTCTCTGGAACTGTATTCAGCTGGAGAGATGGGAAGGGGGTTGGCAGGGTTCTTTCTCGGACCGGGGTGTGTGTTTGGGGAGCATGTTTAGTGGCCATGAGAGCTGCCATATTTCTGATCATTTTTCTTGCTGCAGGTCATTTCATGGGCAACAACACGGTGCTCGATGTTTTGCGGCGCGAAGGCTATGAGGTGGAACACGCCCCCGCTGGACGACCCATCCACAGGTAACCTTCCCGTGCTTCTGTCCTGGTTGGGGAGCAGCTAGGGGAGCGGAGACCCCCACGGGGATGCCTGGGGGCCAGGGTGGGCTGTATCCCGAGGGTCTCCAGAGGGCCCCAGCATGGCCATTACCCCCCGGCCTGGGAGAACTGGCCACTAAGTGGACACTCGGCTCCCGGGTCAACTGGCGACCCTTGGTGGCCGGGGCTGTGTCAGACATGGGTTGTGTGGCCGAGCACTTTGGGCAGCAGAGGCCACACTGGCCTTTTCCACAGTCCTGGGGGCCCCAGAGGGGTGATTAGGCTCAGTGTCCTTCGACCTGGGCATTCGGGAAGTTCTAGGGAGAGAGATGGTGGAATCAGTCATAAGGTGCAGGGACTGCCTGTCAGACCCATCTCGGGGCAGGATGGCGGCCCTCCTCCCGGTCCCCTCTTTGTCCTTGGAAGATCCCCCTTCACCTCATGTTGTCTCGAGCCAACTCCTCTCCCTATGCCCTCACTCCGGAGGGTCTTTCCCCAGAGTCCAGTTTGCATCCCAGGAGCCATGACTTTCCCAGTCTCCCTCTCAGTGGGAAAGCTTGGCTACCTGTGGGCTAGTCGTATCCCCTGCCTCTCTCCACACCTGGCATTCAGTGTGTCAGTAACAGAGTTCTTCACATAGCACTTTCTAGTTCACAAAAGCCCTCGCCTGAGACTTCTCCTTTTCTACCTTCACCGGGCCTCCGGTTTCCTCCATTAAAGCCTCTCTCGGATTTGCCCCTCTTCTCCATGCCCCTGGCCTCTGCCCTCTGCCCTCTGCTCCCTTCTGTACCTTTCTGTGAGACTAATCTTGTGAGTGTCCCTTACTCAGAAACCTTCAGTGACTTCTTATTGTCCTCTTCCAAAGTCCAGTTTCTTCATGCTGATGTCTCAGCACCCAGACTACATTTTTCCGGCACAGGCAGGCTTCTTGCATCAGAAAGCCTTCTGTCCTTGTCGCTGCCTCTCCACCTTCGCTGATGCTTGTTCCCCTGTCTGAAGTGCCCTCCCCTCCTCCCCTGTCAGGGAAACTGCTGCCTCTCCTTCCGTCAGCTCAGCTGACTGCTCAGGTCTCCATCCGTCTCTCTCTCCTGTTCTCCTCCAGCTCTGAAGGGAGAACCCAGCTCTTAGTGGTTCTCTGCTTGTTTTGGGGGGACTGTGGGTCTTCCCTCACCCGTTGGACTGTGTACTCCTGGAAAGCAGGGTGGGCTGGGCCCCCTGACCCCTTCTCAGGCCCCAGCCCCAGGCTGACTGCCTGGGCTGGGGTTTGGCACACTATCCTTGGGGTGCTGGAAAGGGCCCCGCCTAAGAGTGTGTGTGCGTGTGTGTGTGTGCGTGTGTGTGTGTACGTGTGTGTTGATGGTTGCTCCCAGCCTCCCTAATTCTGCTCTAACCCTGACGCCTGCCCCTAAGGGAAAAGAGTCAGGAATCCATATTTTTAAAATCTCTTCCTGAGCTGCTGATGCAGAGTGAGGGGTGAGAACCAGTGCTGTCATCACACTGGGCTGATCACACTTCCCAGGGGAGGGAAAGATCATTTATTGATCGATTGTCAGGTGGGAGCCGGTTCATAGGGCCTCTCAGTTAACCCTCAAAACCAGCCTGTGAGGTGACTGTTTCTTCTCCTTTACGGATGAAGAAACGAACAGTCACCTAGCCAATCAGAGCCGGGATACAGCTCGGACCCCTCCGCCTGCACAACCCTTTTCTTTCTGCCTTTTCTTCTCCCACTTTGTACCTCCCAGCCCCTTCGTCTTTGTTCATGCAGTTTCCTCTGCCGGGGACTCATTCATTGCCCCTGGCCCTAATTCCATCAGAATCTGTGAGAGCTGGCACAAACGTCACACCTTCCTCCCTGCTCCAGCCTGGGGTCTGCCTCTTGCATGATCCTGAGGAGTTTGGTGTGTGCTTCTGCAGGAGCTGTCCTGACAGCCGGCACACAGTAAGTGCTCCATTAGGTAGTGTCTAAGAGTTTCTAGTGGTGAACTTACCTACAGTGCTCCTAGGGGAGGGGAGGGAGCATGACAGCTGCAAAGGAGCTCCTGTTCAGGGAGAAGAAGGGGCGCAGGGCTAAGGGCCCAGAGTGGAGGAAATGCCCACAGTGAAGGGGTTGGCGAGGACCAGGGGCGTGGCGGTGGAGATCCCTGCTTCCTTCTTCCCCTCCTCAGCAGCCATGTGATAATCCTTGAGGGATGATTCAGATCCATATGGAACTTGAATCCAGGGCAGGCTGGTGTGGGTGGGGGCAGGAGGGCTGCTAATACTCGGTAGGCCAGTACACCGAGTATTACTACAGTACACACAGTAGTGTGATGACAGCACTGGTTCTCACCCCTCACTCTGCATCAGAAGCTCAGGAAGAGATTTTAAAAATATGGATTCCTGACTCTTTTCCCTTAGGGGCAGGCGTCAGGGTTAGAGCAGAATTAGGGAGGCTGGGAGCAACCATCAACACACACGTACACACACACACGCACACACACACACGCACACACAGAGATGGGGTGTATATTGGGGTGAGGTGAGGGCAACTGGCAGCCACTACCCTCCACCTGAGAGCAGGCTGGAATACACAGGAAATGCTCCTGGCTATGAAGCTGCCCTTCCCAGGGCAGAAAAGAGGAAGGGATGGGGGTCCTGTTGGGCTGGTCCTGAGGATGTAGACAGCTGCCCTTCTACTTTTCCCAGGCTAATGGATGCCGTATTAGTTTTTTCCCTGTACAAATTACCATAAACACAGTGACTTCAAACAACACACATATATTATCTCACAGTTGTGTAGATCAGAAGCCTGTTGCAGGTTGCACTGGGCTGAAATCAGATGTTGGTAGGGCTGTGGTCCCTTCTGGAGGCTCTAGGGGAGAATCTCTTCACTGTCCTTTTCCAGCTTATGGAGGCTGCTCACATTCCTTGGTTTGTGGCCCCTTCCTCCATCTTCAAAGCCAGCGACATTGCATCTCTCTCACCATTCTTCTGTAGTCACCTCTCCCACTGACCAGAGAAAGGTCACTGCCCCTGGGACCCTTAAGCCTGTGTCTGAGCCAATGTGAGCATCTGTCTGTAGGATCTCTCCCTGGAGATTACAGTGACACTAATCTATACTCTCTCTATTTTCTATAGTGAGAATGTTATTTGAAAATGGCACTGAATCCTTGTTGGGACCCTGGGCAAGTCACTTTATTTTCCTCGGACCTTGGGCAAGTCAGTCTTCAGTTTCCTTAACTGTAAAGTGGGCATTATGATTTCCTAGGACATCTCAGTTCTGAAATATGAGAGAGACAAAAAGCAGGAGTAAAGTTAATTTCTTCTGGATACTGCCTCCCTCTCAAGGGTTATTAACTTGCTTCTCAAGGCCTAGCCTTGGCTACTTGGAGTAACTGGGCTGAGGTCTTCTTGGATCTGTCGTGAGTTGAACAGAATCAAACCTGTGATTTGCCCCACTTTGGAGACCCACTGCTTAAAACCATAGAGCCCTAGTGAGTTTAAGGTCATGCTGCTTGCTAAGTAAAAGCAACAGACTTTTTTGAGTGCCTACTGTGTATCAGGGCCTGTTTGGGTTATATGAGGTCAAGGATGACACAGCCATGTCATCCAAACCCATGGCAGAGGGCCTGGGCTTGGGGGCTGCCTGGTCATCTGCTCCTGAATCCTCTAGGAAGCCACCAGAATCTTGGAGATCTTCAGGTGGGGCACTTTCCCTCTGTAGGCCCCAGTTTCTTTGTTGGTAGAATAAAGAGGTTCATCTAAGTGGTGTCACACTTCCATGCCAGGCATTATGCTGGGCTCCAAGACACTGATGAATTCAGCAGGTCCTGTCCTCTAGGGGCCTTCTAACTATGACCATCTGTTTCAGGGATTCCAAACTCAGGTTCAGAGTGGGGGCCTTTTTTCTTTCTTTGCCATTTGAGAAAGTCCCTTCTTTTACCTTTCTTTTTTTTTTTTGCCAAACTTGGGTCTTTCTCTTTTTCATCTTCTATGTCTTACACCTCCTTCCTTCCTCATACAGGGCCATGGATACTAACTGCCCTCTCAGGTTCTGGGGCAGATCTGAGGCCTGCTTTCGGCAGGTGGGCGGTTCATCAAGGTGAATCAGAGCAGAGTGACTGAGTTCTTACATACGCTGGTCTGCTGCACCCACATTGTTGGAGGATGCACATGGCACATCACTGCTCCCCTTCCTCAGGCCGATGGAGCTCCAGGCCCCTCACTGCCCCCATCAGGAGACGATGGGATTGGGCTCTAGTGGCTGGGATTCTTTTCTTACTGCCCCACCCCCTAACCAAACCCTTGATGAAAGTCCTGTTGTAGGAAAAAATTTGGTCCTTCTAATGCCTTCTTTCCTCACTGGAAGAAGTTTTTCTGGGGACTATAGTCACCTTTGTGGGAAGGATAGAAGCAAGTTTGAATTTCTCACCAATTGTGAAAAACACATTCCTTCAGGAAAGATGGTTTATGGTCAGACCTGGGGTAAGGTGGTTAGAAGCCAGCCCTGTGAACACTGGCAGTCCTTCACCTGGGGATGGGGTGGCTGCCAGCAGCCAAGGAGCCTCTTTCTGAGTAGAGCCCTTATAAGGGGACAGGAGGAATTAACAGGGTTAAGGGCTAGTTCAATTCTTCTAACGAAATGGCATTTAAACATTTTTCACCTCTCTTTAAATGCTGTAATCTTCTGCGGCTTTCTAGATAGTGGCGACCCATTGCTATGGAAAGGATGCCATACTGTATGACCCTCCTCCAAATCCATCTTCCTTCCACCCCTGTTCATAGAGAGAAGAGTGACAGTCCCTCGTCTCCCTCGACGCAGCCCGCCTCCTCTGCCATCTTTGCTCCGGAAGTGCCCGCCCCGGAAGCGCTGGTACTGGAAGCGGGGTCTGCTGTGCACTCGCTGTTGCCAACCCATGTGTCCCTGCCCGGAAGTGCCGACCTGCCGGTGGAGGCTGAGCGGAAGTTCAGGAAAAAGCGGAGGCGGCCGCAGCGCAGGCAGCAGTTCAGGCAGTTCAGTGACCTGTGGGTCCGACTGGATGAGAGGTGAGGAGGTTGGATTGGGGTGGGGTGGGGTGGGGTGGGCGGGGCCAACCGGGAGCCCATCACCGACGTCCATCCTCACCCTGGCAATATGGGTGGGGAGCAGCTCACGAATACCCGTGACGGTGCTTAAGGGGTGGGGTTCAAGGCTCTGGTAGGGGTGAGCGCCCCGCTCATGGAGCAGCCTTTCCCTTTTCTCACGGTTCTGGGTACCAGTCTTCCGTCCACTGTAATAGACATGAATCCATATTAAAGGTAATTGCTTCAACATATTTATCTCTGTTAAAAAACAAATGGTGTTGGTGGTATGCTGGGAGGGCACAGATGGGTCTGTTAAAAGTGGAACTGAGGCCAGAATAAACATCGTAAAGGACTTGATTTGCCAGCCCTTTCTCCCCTGCAGATCAGGGAGAATTTCATAGTTTTGCAGAGCTGGAAGCAGCTCTGTAGAAATGGGCTTGTTCAGCTCCCACATCTTACAGGGAGCCACGTGACCACTGGGAAGTGGATCAGAGGTGGATGGAGGAGCCAAAGGTGGTGACCCAGCCTGGTCTGCAGGGATAAGGCTGCTGGAACAACTGCACCAGAGAGGCCTGGGACCCAGGAGTCAATTCAATTCGGTCCAGACTTACTGAGTTCCTCTTAAGTGCCTGCTGCTGTGTTGGGTGCTGTGGCTTTGGAGTGAACCAGACAGCCATTGGCCCTCTGCCTTCATGGAGCTCACGGTCTGGGGAGGAGACTGGAGGAAGGACCTTTTGGCTGATGCTGAGTAGAAGCCTGACAAAGTGGAGCTCAATAAGTAGACATTCTGAGTCTGGATCAGGAGCTTCAGGGATCCAGTGTCTGCATAGGTGCTTCATGATAAATCTTGAATGAACAAGCAAACAACTGAACAAGGAGGGAAAGGAGTTCCAAGCAAAGAGAACAGTGCGAAAGCCTGGTGTGGGGAGAGTGAGCAAGATAAGGATAAACCAAGATAAAGTAGTTCTGGCTGGAGCCTGGGAGGTCAACAGGGAGTCGAGTGAGATGGGCCCAGAAAGATAAACGCGGTGGAGTGACTGCGAATGTCATGCTGAGGGAAGTAGGGAGCCACTGAAAGGTTTGAAGGAGGCATCCGATGTGCTGTGGGATTTGGACTTTTAAATGGACAGAAGCTGGCAGCCAAATGGGACATGGAGAACAGGGACAGATCCTCTTGGTCTTCATGTCCCCCAGGGTAACTGAGGGTGGCTCTTCAACCATCCTTCGCTGATGGCGGAATAAATCGACCCATTTAGTACTTTTTCAGTCTGGGCCATTTCCTTTCAAGGCGGCCATGGAGTTGGGCACCTTATACCTGAGCTGAACTGAGAGGACGGGCCTGAGGTCATGGGCCCCACAGCTTGTACTGTCTTGACCTTGGATGCTTGCGTGTGTTCACACCAGACCTGGGCTGGAGTTGGGGAGACAGCCAGAGACCCAGGGAGTTCTCCTCGTGGCTTGGCTGTACCTGTGTGTGTGGTCAGTGAGGAAAGACCCCTGCCTGAGATTGCCCAGAGGCTAATGATAAGCAAATCTGAGTTAGGCCTTCTGACACCTGGAGTTTTTAATAATCCTTGAACCTGGAACCAAACAGCCAGGGGAGAGTTGCCCAATGTGCCAGTCTTAGCGGCTGTATTATTTGGTTTTGTCGTAGCAATGGTAACAAGGGCCAAAGACACAGGAAACCTATTAACATACTAAGATCCATTCCTGTCTTTAAAGAAGGGAGACGAAAAGAAGCTTTGTGGCCATTTGGGGCCCTTGGAGTATCCAGTGGCTCCTGCTGTGCCCTGAGACTCTGTCTTTTTCTCCTAGTGCTGTGGTCCCACAACTCCAGGTCCCCGTTGTGGACAGGCACATCACTGCCGAGCTGCGGCTCCCTCGCCATGGGCCTTCCCGCCACAGCCAGATGGTGGCCAGCAGTGCCTGCCTGTCTCTCTGGACTCCTGTGTTCTGGGTGCTGGTGCTGGCTTTCCAAACAGAGACGCCCCTTCTGTAACAACTAGAGAAGCCAGGCCAAGACCCTGACCCCTTGGACTTGAAGGAGAGCCATTCCTGTACTCCACACTCAGGTTTGGCCTTGACAGGCCCAACCCAGGAGAAGAGACTCAGAATAAAAGCCAGTGTGGATTCTTCTCTTTCCCAGGAATGCCTTTGGGTTATCCAACAATGTTTGGGGTAGGTGTACAGTTTTGTAACATAATGAGTTGTATGAAAAGAATTAATTGTAAATGAATTATATGAAAATAATTAAATACCTTTTTTCATGTAGACTTTTCCCCACAAAGTGTATATGTCAGGCAAACAACCTTTTTGCTCACACCCTCTGAGTACTGTCACTGCTTCACTCCGGGGCCTCCCTGCAACTTCGGATCCCGACCCTTTTTTCCCTCCTGCTGCTCTTCGACCTGTTCACTCCTGGTTCTGGATGCAGGGGCGGTAAAGGCCGTGGGACCTTTGGTCTGCTCCTCTCTATTCAAGGTCTGGTGAGTAGGGTGCGTCCCGCACTCACAGGTGCTTTCAGCACATCTAACGTGTGAGTGTCTCACCCACGTGCTGGACCGGGCAGATGGGTAGGCTTTGTCAGAGGTGTGCTGCAAGAAAGTGGTTTTCAGGCACTCCCCCGACCCGTCTTGTTATTTATTTATTATTTATATGTCCACGTCTTTTCCAAATGAAATCTTGTGGGCAATCTCTGTATAAAGTGAGTAAGAGAAGAACTGCCCCAGCCGAGTCTGAAATGGGGACATTTAGCCCCGCCCAGCTGATCTCCAATGGCCCACCTTCCGCTGTGGCTCCAGACCAGGGTTGCCCACCCGTGGCAAGGTTTCTTTATGGTCCTCCTGGGCCTCCGAGCCGCTCACAACCCAGAGGGTCTGCCCAGGACTTGGGCGGGGCCCAGAAGAAGTAGATGTATTTGTTCCTAATCTGGTTTAGGGTAAGCTTGATGGCCTGAGCTTGCAGCTCTGTGGCCTTCCCTTCCTTTCCAGAGACTTCCTTGTGGGTTCATTCTCAGTCACGTTGAGGGCCCAGAAGATCATTGGCATCTCACTGAAAGGTGGTGTGATGGTACTCAGGATCCGTGTCCACGCCCCCTTGCTCTGTTCTGCACCCCCTGTATTGCAGGGGTAGGAGGGTAAACTTTCCCAGATTCCGTTGATGCTGTGATTGAGAGTCTCTTAATGAGATACTCTTATGTGAGATTTAGAAGGCAGAGGGGGCAGGAGACCTTTTTCTTCAGTAGTGGTGGCAGGGACGTGCAGGCTCCAGCAGACACAAGTTTGTGCAGCGGGCCGGCTCGCTCTGCGTCCCACTGTTGAGTCAGCTGCTTCATGAGCCTGGTGTAGTTGTGAGTAGTTTCCTGCAGCTTTCTGACCTCGGATTACAGCTGCTGTGGTGCGTAATGTCAGCCCTCTGCCTTCTGCAGCTGTAGCCGTTCCCGTGGCTGAGTAAGCAGCTGTTCTGCTTGAAACACCAATGGTAGTTCCTGACTCCTGTGCTAACTCTAACTAATGGAAGTGCTCCCTTCTCTTCTGTGACCTCAGTCTGTTCCTCACTTTGATAGTTACGGGGATGAAGGTGGACAGACAGAGGTAAACCGGGAGGTAAACTGTGGCTGACCCAGTTCTTCCAACTGTCTGTAAGGGGGTGGTGTGACTTTCTCCAGAGGCCCATATCCTAGCTGGGCAGTTCCCAGTTTCTTGGCTCATGTTATGGCCAAGGAAGCACACAGACTCTTGTTGGCAGGGCTGACATGAAATGGCTTGCCACAGTGTGGCTGCTCCATCGTAGCACTGACCCAACAACCTGTGCTTTTGAGGTGGCAGGGGCTCACGTGCACCCAGCCGGTTTTCACACAGGTTCATCCTAAAGTGGAAGGGGAGAACTCCTCTCCCTGGGGCACAACCAGCCTGCACTTTGTGAAAGCACAGATTCTTCTAAGGATTGTAACAGCCCCACAGAGCGGGGGCACTAGCTCCGTGGGCCAAGGTCTTGTTATCTTGCTCATTGGCTCCCAGTTGTTGTGGTCGCTGCATCAGCCTCCCATGTGTTGGGCTCTAAGCCTTGATCTGTTCTAGAAATGGAAGCACCCGGGGCCATGTGACTGAAGTGTGCATTGGGCCTTTTGTGTTAGGAAGTGCTGAGTTCTGACTCTGCCCAAGGAGCGCCCAGGTTACTGATGGGAAGTTCCCTGGCTCTCACCTGGGGGAGGAGGAGCAGGTTTGAGAGATGGGTGCTGAACCTAGTGCTTTCACATTGGGGCTTGAATTACCAACAGAAAGAGAAACTCAAAACACTTTATTTTAGGTTATAAGAGAAATAAAAGCCACACTTACTACCTTTAAGCCAGATCAAAAGTAACACTATTTTGCTCACATATAAATTATGCAGACTCTTTTTCTCCCATCAGGAAAGAGCTCTGGCCCATTTCTTTGCCAGCAGGTGGCACCTTTTCATTCATTCAGCTGGCAGAGCAAGGCTGATCCCTTGGCAATCCAGTAGTCTTTGGACCGCTTGGAGGGTAAAAGGACGGTCACCACAAAGTTGGTTGAATGACCTAGTTAAGGGAAAAAAAGGGTCGTTACTTACAGAATAACCCCTTGATACAAAGAGCATTGTACTACGAGTCAAGACACCTGGGTTCCAGACCTGACTCTGCCTCTAAAGATGGTGGGCAAATAGTCCTCTACAGATTTCAGTTTTACACTATAAAATAAAGATGTTACAACAAATGATCCTTTAGGACCTGTCCAGCTTTGGCTTTGTGTAACCTTAT